TGCTGTGAACTGCTGTTTTTTTGGTAATTACTTAATACCCTTAACCCCCTTTCGGCAGAAAAATTGGTGGCAACGATAAGATTTATAAGAGCAATATTTGTGTCGCAATCGTTGTGTCACAACACACTCTTAAGTCAAAGTCAAAGTCACATTGCAACTGACTGTCAGTCAGTCAGTAAGTCTTAGTTTCGAGCCCCTTCTGGTGCTCATGAGCAGATATTTATTACTGTTTGACAGTTACGGTCTTGATTTTGTATGGCGCCCTCTCTGACGAGAGGACGGGTCTGTCTTTTGTATATGCTGCCGGTCCTTACCAGCGCAGTTTTTCTTGGGTCCGAGTTCCATGGGACTTATGACCATATTTTATTGTCTTAGAATTGAGACTTCCCTTTTCGTCGCCTCTTACGACTCGCAGGGTCACGGTGGAAGTATCCGACCCCACCTCCACTCGAGATGACGAATTCTCCTGTTATGTAGCTTCCGCAGTGACAACACAGAAAACAGTTACGTGATGGCTTTCACTGTTGTGTGACGTTGTGTTTACCATTGCCTGGCAAGAGTCGCTGCACGGGCTCCTCTGTTGCGTGACCCCGTGTTTACAAAGGCTTTGCTGGCCAACGCTGCCTAGCAACCAGCGCGCTTCGGCACGGACAAACACCGCTTTCCTTACCGTTGTCTAACTTGCAACCGACCGTTTATCAAGGGTCCGTCTTCGTGGTAACTCGTTCCACCTCCCGTTGCCCAGCAACGGTTAGACATGTCACGCGGCACCCTTCTTAAGGCTGTTCGTCCCGCATAACCTAAGAGTGTATCACCGGTCCTTTCCTTCCGAGGCTATGCTTCAAAGTTTTTTTTTGTCTGGCTCGGTGTTTTATTTCTTCCCGTTGTCCGTTTTCCAACCGCTACACCCGCTTCCTTCTTAAGACCCGCACGTCTCTAGCGTTTTCCTGTTAAATTGTCAGGAGATCCAGTTTTTACAGTCTCAAACATTTCGTTGCTTAGATATTGCTGGCATCTTTGTAANATGTACGTCATATCTCCCAGCCTTCCTGAAGGTACGTCACAATATATATATATATATATATATATATATACCAAATGTCGCGTTCAGCGCTGTATCAGTGCACAGTGTTTCCATGGACTTACACAATATGATTACGATATCAATTTATTGGAACAGGTTCATCAGAAATATACATAAATGAGACTGCTAATTTGTATTTACTTTATAACACTGCCAGTATCTCAGATATTATTTTGTAGTGCCGAATGTTCAGAGGACTAATGAATGAGCTGGTAGTTATTAGAAAAGAAGCGGTCAGAGTGTATTCAAGGCATTATTCCGTCATTTGTTTGGGTCTGAGGAAAACCACACCATTGCGACCACATGTTACGGCGCAATCAAGGTTGAGGCACCCCAAATTCTTTTTCTAATCCCAACGCTATCAACCAGTTTGTTGTACCCGAAGTGTCATTTGCTGTAGGTACCACAGAAGGCTTGCTTCTCCTCCGTGAGTCTAGTTAGCGGTTTTGCAATGTTGGAGATCCCGAGATAAATCGCCTGTATTACGTGAATAGGCCCAGAAAGCTTCTAATTTCATGCTTATCCCTCGACGTTGGCCATTGTCGCACAGCTCTCATTTTTTTCCGGGTTTGTAGGTATCCCTTCTGGTAATATATTATGCCCTAGGTACCTGGCTTCTTTCTGAAAAGTTGACACTTCTTCGGGTTAAATTTTAGCAGGGCTTGTATGAAACGCTCAGACCGTAAGTTGATGTCGTACCACTTCCGCGCGGCGGGTCATAGCGGCCAGTTCCTTCCGCGGTCGACACTTTTCCTGGTCTTGTTCGTCCTGAGGATATCTCTTTAGTCGTGCCATTGTTGCATGGCGAGACATCTTCCTCTCGTTTCTCGTAGTCTGTTATGGCACTTTCACATGTCGGCTCGTCCCTCTTCGGGCGACGGCCTGTCCTTTTCAGCTTTTCAGTACCGATCCAGACCTTGGGTCCGTTCATTCACCTGGCGGCGGCTCTCTAAGGCCAGTTTTCTGTCCCTACGCCGTTTCTTCTTTGGTTCTCCGACAAGCATTACTTCGGCGTCTTCTACGGGAACTTCTTGATGCTGTTCAGCCTCAGGTTTCCTGTCCAGTGAGGTCGGCTCTTTTTCTTCTTGACGCGCCTCCATCTCTTGGCTGGCCATAGTCTTTATGTCTGTTTCAGGTTCGATTTTAGCCACCATCTCCTTGCGGCTGGCGTCCATCATTTCTCGCATGGCGGCCATGTCTTATCGCCATGCTTTCATAGTTGGCCTGCCTATCGGCCTCCGATTTGTCCAGCAACTCCTTATGGCTGGCCTCCGCCTTCGTCTGGATGGTTCTCGTTTTCTCTTGGCCAGCTCTCATTTCTTCTTGCATGGCCAGCAGGAGTTCAATTATCTATTGTCACACCATTTTGTGTCCGTCTTAATCACGCGTGTAAGTCCAACCTTTTAAATTCGATCCGATTAATACAACTTCTGACACCATTTGTCGCGCTGTATAGGCAACACGCAACAGGAAACCAAAAAACGGCTGCGCTGGCGAGGTCCAGCAGGAATTTACTGGACTACACTGGACAGTACTGGACCGATGCCAGTGGGTTGCAACAGGGTTGTGAGACGGCCATCAGCCTACAAGGACGTGAGTGGACGTGAGCACGGAATGTGTAGTATCTCCATTGTCAAAGCCTATATGAACAACGACTTGTGAAGTCATTGAAGACTTCAAGTGTGCTGTAATTAGAGTGTTCTGTGAGCCTGTTATAGTTATTTATAGTTATGAGTTACGAGTGTTCAATAAATTCAGTTATCAATTCAAACCCCGTGTCTACTTACTGACCAGTGATAATTGGCCAGTCAATACGTGTGGGTGGCATGGTGTTGAACATGTCTTCTTTGGTATCCGTGGATTGTGCTTCGTGACCGCTCGTGACACAGGTCCTAGATGTCCTAGACGGACACGAAGCCATAACCCACAAATCACAAAGTTCACTGCAGTGAAAACCTGAAATCTCATAACGTCGGTCTGTGGATCAGAAGTAGTGTATGATTTTAATTGCACATTGAAAATGAATAGAGACAGTTCTAATTCGGATTCCATTATATTTTACCAATTGGCGGAGCACAGCGTTCCTCGTGGTAGTATTGGTGGCTAGAGCTTACAATTTCTAGTCAAAGTGTAGTGCTTGTTAATATTCATAAGCATTTTATGAAGAATCGCACTTTTCTCGTGGCAAGGAAGTAAGTAATTTATAATTTCTTTTAAAAGTGTATCGATTGGAATTACTTTAACCGTGGTAGGTTACTCCCTTGTGGACATAAAGGGATCTATTTTCGCTGTCGGGATTGGCTTACAATTTGATATCTTCATTGGTTCTTTATCGCATGTGGTAGCTCTGTGCATTGTTAACGGAGTGATAATGTTGATTTGCTTATATGTGGGTTTAGTGAATCGGGAGAAGTAGTAATACGGAGCGAGTTTATAGTTAGTTATTTACCCCCTCCCCCATTATNCTTGTGAAGTCATTGAAGACTTCAAGTGTGCTGTAATTAGAGTGTTCTGTGAGCCTGTTATAGTTATTTATAGTTATGAGTTACGAGTGTTCAATAAATTCAGCTATCAATTCAAACCCCGTGTCTACTTACTGACAAGTGATAATTGGCCAGTCAATACGTGTGGGTGGCATGGTGTTGAACATGTATTCTTTAGTATCCGTGGATTCTGCCTCGTGACACAGGTCCTAGATGGACACGAAGCCATAACCAACAAATCAGAAAGTTCACTGCAGTGAAAACCTGAAATCTCATAACGTCGGTCTGTGGATCAGAAGTAGTGTATGATTTTAATTGCACATTGAAAATGAATACAGACAGTTCTAATTCGGATTCCATTATATTTTACCAATTGACGGAGCACAATGGTTCTCGTGGTAGTATTGGTGGCTAGAGCTTACAGTTTCTAGTCAAAGTGTAGTGCTTGTTAATATTCATAAGCATTTTATGAAGAATCGCACTTTTCTCGTGGCAAGGAAGTAAGTAATTTATAATTTCTTTTAAACGTATCGATAGGAAATACTTTAACCGTGGTAGGTTACTCCCTTGTAGACATAAAACGATCTATTTTCGCTGTCAGGTTTCGCTTACAGTTTGATATCTTAATTGGTTCTTAATCGCATGTGGTAGCTCTGTGCATTGATAAGGTAGTGATAATGTTGATTTGCTTATATGTGGGTTTAGTGAATCGGGACAATTAGTAATACGGAGCGAGTTTAGAGTTAGTTATTTACCCCCTCCCCCATTATAAGTTACCCACGGTTGACGTAAATTGGCGATGCAGTTTAATTGCATCGGCGTTAAGTTATCATACATTTGGTTTGCTTGTAGAAGTACAGCAGAACCACAATTTGCAAATGATTACTGCTTTGCAAGTGGATTCAATTGTTTCCCGGTTTTCCTGTACTTTTATGTTAGCATAGAGTGGAATTGTTTCCTCCTCGTGCATGTTCTTGTTAGTGTAGTTTTACTGGGTATCAGATGTGATGGAATATGTACTACTTGTAATATTATTCCTTCATAAATTTTCTCTACTACAGATCCAATGCTAGGCAACAGGCCAATAAATATATATTTATGATAACAGAAGAGGTATTTTCTATGTGATATGTGCGATGCCCATTGTTGAACAACGCGTCTCAAAACATGTTTTCGCAGCAACAAATAAGCACACCATAATAGAGAAACTTTGGAGGTGTTTATTTATATTTGGTCCTTCACAAAGTTATAAAGGAATGGACACTATTGATTTGTGCTTGCGCTGCCTGGGAGTTTGCAGCAGACAACCATGTACTGAAATTACAGCGCCATCAAAATTAAGTTCTCTGCACCATTGATAATTCTCCAAGCCCACCAATTTGCGATTTGCACATGGCTTTCAATCTTCCATATATGATTACATAACAAAATTATTAAGGCAACAAACAGAAGTAATTCAAAATTATGAAAATTCAGATGTTGACAACAANCGGAGTGATAATGTTGAGTTGCTTATACGTGGGTTTAGTGAATCGGGAGAAGTAGTAATACGGAGCGAGTTTATAGTTAGTTATTTACCCCCTCCCCCAATAAGTTACCCACGGTTGACGTAAATTGGCGATGCAGTTTAATTGCATCGGCGTTAAGTTATCATACATTTGGTTTGCTTGTAGAAGTACAGCAGAACCACAATTTGCAAATGATTACTGCTTTGCAAGTGGATTCAATTGTTTCCCAGTTTTCCTGTACTTTTATGCTAGCATAGAGTGGAATTGTTTCCTCCTCGTGCATGTTCTTGTTAGTGTAGTTTTACTGGGTATCAGATGTGATGGAATATGTACTACTTGTAATATTATTCCTTCATAAATTTTCTCTACTACAGATCCAATGCTAGGCAACAGGCCAATAAATATATATTTATGATAACAGAAGAGGTATTTTCTATGTGATCTGTGCGATGCCCATTGTTGAACAACGCGTCACGAAACACGTTTTCGCAGCAACAAATAAGCACACCATAATAGAGAAACTTTGGAGGTGTTTATTTATATTTGGTCCTTCACAAAGTTATAAAGGAATGGACACTATTGATTTGTGCTTGCGCTGCCTGGGAGTTTGCAGCAGACAACCATGTACTGAAATTACAGCGCCATCAAAATTAAGTTCTCTGCACCATTGATAATTCTCCAAGCCCACCAATTTGCGATTTGCACATGGCTTTCAATCTTCCATATATGATTACATAACAAAATTATTAAGGCAACAAACAGAAGTAATTCAAAATTATGAAAATTCAGATGTTGACAACAATGGACAAAGCGAACCCCTACACAGGAAATATAAGTGACTTAAACTTGTTGGTGGTCAAGCATGTGACCATTCAAGTGACTAGACTGGCATTGCAGTAGGAGCTACTAAGGATAGGGCATGATGTGCTGTACTGATCATGGACTGACAGAGACCTTGTATATATTACATACAAAGTTATTAACATGATAAATGTAAATTGTACATACTGATAACTGAAAATATTACTGCAGACTGTGGCTCTGGCAAACGAAAGACCTATCCTGTCATCAGAGTCCACATTTACAAGCCTGGAGCTGTCATACAGAATAAAGATCTGGTCTTAAGCCCCAGATGAGTGCATTATTCCAAGACAGACTGGCTGAATGACCAACAGTGGTAACATAACTTTGACAATCCTGTGTGGAGGCAAGTTTGAATATCTCCACCATAGCCCTGTGAGTCGTAGGAGGTGACGAAAGGAGAAGACTTGAATGTGAGACAGTAAAATATGATCGCGAGTTCCACGGGACTTGGACCCGAGAATGACTGTCTGGCGAGTGCCAGCATGAATTGCAAATGACAGACCTGTTGTCTTGTCAGAGAGAACGCCCCACGTAAACAAATCCACAGCTGTCTGACAGTAATAAAAATCTGGTCGTAAGCCCCAGACAGACTTGCTGACTGATCGTTGGTCGTAACATCAGACTCAGACTTATATAAAGGGTGGACACATGAGAATGCTCAGTAGAGTTCAGAATTTGAGTTGAGTGTTCAGTTGTGGAGTCTTAACTAGCAAACAGAAGGTGAAGAGCCTCCATCACTAAGAATCATTACCAGGAATCTTATAGTGAAAACTTTGCAGAGGAATAGCCATTGTTGAGACCTGTTACCAAGCAATAACTAGCGGAAGCAGACTTAGAGGAAATCAGCAGTGCTGTGATAGTTATTTGTAGTTATATCCTGTGAGTAGTCAGTAATCTATTCACCAATCCAAATCCAATCTCTAGTCACTAATACACGTGACAATATTTTTTGGGATATTGAAAGAAGGGAACTGCTTTACATTGTAACAGTGCCTGCTTGGGTGAGTTTTAGTTAATTGGTGAATTCCCTAAACCTCCAAAAGTTAATACATTCACTTGGACAGAATGAAAATGAAAAAAGGAATCATGTTAAACTGGAGTGGCAGTACATTATCTCAGTTTATCAGTCAATGTTATTGCTGTAAAAGTTATTTCATAGTGAATTATTTTTCGCTTTCAACAGAAAAATAAAATTTAGTTTAGTAGGCCAGTGCATGCAACAAGTTGTGACCTAGCAATACTTCGTCTCTTAACCAATTACAGTATTTCTCAACTTATGGGCCATTTTTATATGTGCATTGAATATCAATGATAAGTGAAAAATTGTTTTTCAGTAATGCTAAGAGTGAACTACTTTTGTTGCCATGACACATCCTCATTCCATTGAAGCTCAACTTACCAAGCAATTCACCTTTTCTTGTCTGCATGTATAGTTCTCCCCCATTAATTTGAACATTTGAAATTTAATGTAGTTTGTGTGGCCAAGTAACTCACTCCTTGGAGCTGAGTTCATCTTGAAGATCCAGCAGTTGCCCACGCACTTAAGAAATTTTCTGAAACTTGAAGGTTCATTATTGTATTCATAAGTGTTTGCCACTGGACACTTTCCTGATCCATATGAATCCATAATTTTATGTTTTATATTTTCCCATCTACATCCAGGTCTTCCTAAAGATCTCTTTATCATTCAGGTTTTCCTATCAAAACCCTACATGTACTCCTTTCCTATAGCTGCTGTATGCTCTGCCATTTTATCTTCCATGACTTTATCACTGTAATAACACTTGGCAGGGAGTACAAGTTATAAAGCTTCCCATTGTGCAGTTTTCTCCTGCCTCCTGTTATTTCATCCCACTTTGGTTCAAATATTCTCAGCACCCAGTTCTCAAAGACACTGAGTCTGTGTTTTTCCCTTGATATGAGGAACCAAGTTTTGCGCTCGTACAAAATCACAGGAAAAATTATAGTTTTGTATATTTTAATCTTTTATGTTTCGGACCACAGATGAAGAACAATTCTAACCTGATTTGTAGCAAGCATGACCCAAATGTAACCTGCTCATAATATTCTCATGAATCAGATTTATTTTGCTACTGTCATTCCAAAATATTTGAACTTTGCCACATTTTCAAACGACTTTTTAACCATATTTGTGTTATGATACTGTCCTGCATTCTCAACATATACATAGTTTTCTTTGTGTTTACTTTTAAACCAACATTTATACTAGCATATGTTAGAGCTGTTATGATTTTATTTATGGTATTCATGTTTTCTCCCAGTAAATTATGATCATCAGTGTAGACTAATAGGTCATGTCTCCAGTTTAATTTCAGT